GGCCATTTTTTGGTTGCAGCCATCATTGTTGTTTGGCAGGCCCAGGCTGGGGATTCGAACCCGCCACCTTAGGTGTATGTGGCTGGCGCCTTAGCCAGTTGAGCCACAGGCGCTGAGCCTAAACTCCTTGATAAGTCCCCTCCAAGGCCCTGGTTACTTTGAGCTCCATTTCTCATTACCACTCCTAATACTTCAACCACGTCATATTATTTGCCTTTCCTGAAAAGAGCCACGTCCCTGACAATTGTGCTTTTGTGCACAGACTGAGTCCTTTGCAAAAGACTCCTATCTATCCTTCCGGTGTTGGTTCAAACATGAACTCCTCTGTGAAGACTTTCCTCCTCTCTGTTATGAATCACTCCTTTCCTCATTTTCTCAATATTTCAAATAATTGTCTCTAGTAAACACCCAATAAGCTATACTATAATTATTTACTTATGTATCTATGTCCCCATCAGACTAAGAGGTTCCAAGGGGGGACAGTACATCTCCTTTATTGCTGTGTCCTAAGTAACAGTCTAGTCCTTGGCACACAGAAGATGGGCAACATTTGTTTGTTAAGTGAACAAAGGGAAATAAAGGGACTCAGGTGCTACCCAAAGGACCAGGACCTCCAATTTAACCACCACAAGAGAAGAATCGAGGGCTGGTGGAACAGACCCTAGTGGTATTTACTTTCCCACCTTTTCTCTAGCAACTGAACGTGCTTAAAAGACACATTCACACCTTGACTTACAGGTAAGTCAGAGTGGCAGGAACTTCTCTCACCCCATTTCAGGACCAATCCTTTCATTTTAGCAGGCTCAGAGGTGCTCCTTAGTGGGTGAGCAAGCTTGGATGGGAGACTGCAAGCCTCCTATCCTTCAGCAAGTGCTCAGAATAGCTCCATTAGCGTTCATGGAAACTCTGCACATGCACCAAGGAGAAAACAGCCACAAATAACACAGCCTGCACGCCAAATCTGCAAAGCACATCTCTGCAATTATCTCACTTCCCAACTTCCCCACTGAAGCTAGAGAGCAATTTGATTTCAACTTACTCTGGGTTCCTAAGTTAGCAGAACTCTGGCTGCTTAGACAGGAGGCTTCCTACTTCCAGGCTCTCAGCCTACCCCAGCTTCTCTTTTACACAGCCTGTCAGCACAAACTGACTGGTTTCTCTTGGAATCGGTTCAAACGCCTTCACCTGATGCTCAAGACCCTTCAAAGCTGATCCTGGTCCTTACCTTCCTCTCCCCCTGCCCTGCTGCACATGTCCTTCACTCCAGTTGTACCAATCATCTTCTGGGTTTTCCCATACTCTGCCTTCTCTGTCAGGCATGTACCTCAACCACCCTTAAATTACTTCTGATTTTTAATACTGTACACAGGCATCACCTCCTCCAGGAAGCATTCCCTGATTGACTAGATGCCTCTGCTATACTCCCAAAGCAGTCATTCATCTATTCAACAAATAGTTATGGAGATCTAGCTTGTCCCAGGCTCTGTTCTAGGTGCTGGAGGTGCAGCAGAGAAAAGAACAAACACTTTACTTTTATGAAGCTTAAATCCTTGAAGAGGGGGAGAAAGACAACAAACAAATAATTGCGTCAAGGGGTAACAAATACTTGAGAGAAAAATAAGACAACAAAGATTATGAAAGACTCACTGGGAGGGAGTGCTGGGGTAGTCAAGGCCTGATAAGGGAAGGAGAGATCTGAATCAAGTGAGGACAAGAACGTGCAGGGAAGTGGGGAAACCACGCCGCAATCACAGCAGCAAGCGCAAAGGTTCTGTAGCTGGAGCCTGCTTAGTATGTGTGTGCAAAACAGCAAGGGGGCCAGTGGGACCACGGGAGGTGTGAAAAGGGGAGAGAATGTCAGGAAACGAGGTCAGAGAGGCGCCAGCACACAGATCGTATCGGGCCTTGTAGGACATGGTAAGGGATCGGGATTTTACACCAAGTGAGATGGAAGCCGCTGGAAGGTTTTGAACAGAGAAGAGCGATGATGGGTCTTATATTTTAAAAAGGTCACTCTGGCTACACTGTGGATAATAGAGTAAGGGGAAACAAGGAAGAGACAGACATCTGGACAGCCACTGACTTTACTGATTGGTTCCTAGGATGGACGAGTATTACTCTAGGCACTAAAGATACCCAATGAGTGAGACAAGGTCTCCGACTTCAGGGAGGCCAGATCCTGGTAGGGAGATGGAATAAGCAAACCACAGAACACGTGGATATGCACAGAGCAGTACAGGGCATTACGGGAGGGGTTGGAAAAGGAATAAGGTAGAGAGTAGATACCAGAAAGGGAAAATAGCACGTGCAAACACTCAGATGCTTCAAGAAACCTGCTACAATGAAGAACCACAGAACACGCCCTGTGAAGACGGAGGATCAAGTTTGGGGCAGGGATTGGAAAGAAGTGAGGGAGGAAAGGAAGGCAGGGGCCAGATCACAGATAGGCTTGCAAACCAACGTGTGGGTGTCTTTTATCCTACAGATGACAGGAACCCACTGATGGACTGTAATGAAGGCATGACTGGGATTTTCAGTCTTGATATGTTCGTTTGTTTATAGTGTAGAGAGGTAAATTCAAAGAAAGTAAGACTGGAGGCAGAGGGACCAGTTAGGAGGCCACGTGGTCACTGGGAAAGAGAGGATAAAGTCCTCAAGTGACAGCAGAGATAGAGAAGACGCAGAAGATTCTAAATATATTTGGGGAGCAAAACTGTCAGGATGTGGCTGCCTGAGGGTAGGAGAGGAAGGGTCTACCCAGGCTGACCTCCGGGGCTCCCAGCTGGAGCGCCTAGGAGAGGAAGGGTCTACCCAGGCTGACCTCCGGGGCTCCCAGCTGGAACCCCTAAGAGAGAAGGGTCTACCCAGGCTGACCTCCGGGGCTCCCAGCTGGAGCGCCTAGGTTGCCAGTATTGTCAACTAAGAGAAGACATTCAGAGATGTCCACAGGATGTCTAGGAAAGGCTGTCTGAAACTCAGGGGACAGGTCTGGGCTGAAGATACAAACTGGAGGGTCATCCACACTTACAGTGATGCCTGAAAAATTGAGAGCAGATGACATCAATCAAAGAGGAGCTGCACAGCCAAGTAGAGCTGGGTTTTGAATCCTAGACCCACCACTCACTGCCTGTGTGGCTCCTGAGTGAGCCACCTGTCTGAGCCTCCCTTGTCTCACCTGAAATCGGGTACTTTACCACAGTGCCAGGCACAGGCTAAGAGGCAATTATCATTCCAGCTCCAACAGCTACTCACATGGGAAACTAAGCAAGGCCCCTCCGCTCGGTGAGCCTCAGGGTCTCACTTCTAGCTGCCACTCGGCATCCACCCCACCCCATGGAACTCTGTAAATGGTGCTGAATAAACACCACCTAAAAACCTAAATCTACAACACTTAAGACAATAGGTGAGAGAATCAAACAGGATTTTTACAAAACGATATAAAGATCCACGTAAATATTAGTAAACCGTCTTAGACAACGTACTCAGCACTTAGAAGGCAGACGTGGTGTTAGCCTCTGTGCCCTGCACCCTGGCTTTTCAGCCCATCCTTTGTCCTGGATTTTAAATCTCTCCTTTTCTATTAGCGCCTTCCTTTCGGATTACAAACATGTCCCAGTCTCCCCTCATCTAAAAATCCTTCCTTGGGTCTTGCTACCTCCCTCGAATTCTGTTTCCATCACTCTTCAATTTCACCAACTGCACCCTTTCTCAACCCGAAACTCTTTGCAATGAACAAATCCCCCCTTTTGTTTTAGAAAAAAGGTCCCAGTTTATTATTACTTTAAAAAAGCAAATATCATTTACATAATTGTTCAAGCCGGCCTGTATAGAGATATTTCACTTTAAAATATATGTATGTATTTTTTTTCTACTGTGGTAATTCATTTCAAGAGAAATTTCATTATGTATCTTCTACAGAGCCCTAACGTGAGAGAGCCAACATATTCAAATAAACCTGGAGGTGTGGGAGGCTTCAGGCCAGTTCCTCATTAGAAGCCTCAGCATGGGGGCTCTGGAGACCACACAGAAGGTCTTCCAGGGAGAGCTGAAACGTTCAGATAAGTGAGCTCTGGGAAGAAGGGGTAGTCGGCTGGCTCTGGCAGGCTCACCCCTGGGGTAGAGCAAAGAGAACAGACAGGGGAGTTCTGAGAGGCACCAGAGCTATCTAAACTCAGGGGGATGGAACCGAGTGAGCAGCAGCCGTAATTGAGTTTCAGTTACCTGCAGGGTGGTGAAATAAAGTAGTAACTTCGTCTGCGTGACATGGGGGAAGTTTAGAGGTGTCCTTGGCATTCGCACAGTGAAATCCATCACCCTTTCCCCGTGATGGGTGATGGCAAGCGTATGGCGCTTCCCAGTGACAGCCAGCGTGCGTCCTGTTAGGCAGCACCAGCGCTCTACAGCTAATGAAGCGTGTTCTGCAGGCCGTCGTCTCCCAGGGCTCTCTGCATCCTCTGTCTGCAAAGCAACGGCACCAAGGGAAAATCCAGCACAGCCAGCGCCAGCCATCACCCAAACTCAAAAGCGTCTTTGAACGGCAGAGAAACCCGTTTGCTTCTCTGTCCGTCCCAGGGTTAGAATCATCCTCAGGTCACTTTTTGTGGGTCTGTACAAACGTGCCGACTGGCAGCGAGCCGTTCTTCACCTGAGCCCGGATTTCAGCTCGGTGCTTTAATGTGAAGACCAGGGCTCTCACCGTCCGCCGGTATGGCCCATTAATGAGGCGGGAGCAGAGATGAAACGTTTCCCGCTCAATATTTTCAACCAGTAGGTGATCCATCTAAAAAACAGCAAAATTATCAAATTAGGGCCTTGCATTGCATAAGGATTAAAAGCAAGAGAGGCTGGAGCACTCTGCTCAGAGGCCTCCATTAATCAACTGAATTTCAAGGACATCTACTTCCTGTCACAAGAGAAACAGGAAGAGCAAATTAATTCCACCCTGGCAATTAAGGAACAAGGCCATGTGCTTTGTGACAGGGACCTCATTCACAACCCCTGCCGGGTGGTAATATTTGCCATTATAACAGGAAACGGGCCTGAACTAAGCAATGGGTACTGGGTCCTGTACTTTACCAACCAGGAAACGAAGACCAAGGATAATAAATCAATATAACTGTTCATTTTTTTTGTTGTTTTTAAAGTTCCTTTAAACAAAATCCTTACAGCATTGTAGAAACACTGGGTCTGCATTCTTTTTTTTTGGACAAAGTCTCACTCTGTTGCCCCAGGCCAGAGTGCTGTGGTGTCATAGCTCACAGCAACCTCAAACTCTTGGGCTCAACTGATCCTTTTGCCACAGCCTTCTTTTTTTCTTTTTTTTTTTGAGACAGAGCCTCAAGCTGTCTCCCTGGGTAGAGTGCCGTGGCATAGCTCACAGCAACCTCCAACTCCTGGGCTCAAGGAAGTCTCCTGCCTCCGCCTCCCAAGTAGCTGGGACCACAGGCGCCTGCCACAACACCCGGCTATTTTTTTTTTTGGTTGCAGCCATCATTGTTGTTTGGTGGGCCCGGGCTGGATTTGAACCTGCCACCTTAGGTGTATGTGGCTGGCGCCTTAGCCACTTGAGCCACAGGCACCGAGCCTTGCCACAGCCTTCTAAGTAGCTAGAACTACAGGTGCCTGCTGTAACGCCTGGCTAATTTTTCCTTTTCTTTTTCTTTCTTTTTTTTTTTTAAGTAGAGACAGGGGTCTTGCTCTTGCTCAGGCTGGTCCCCAACTCCTGAGTTCAGGCAATCTACCTGCCTTGGCCTCCAAGAGTGCTGGGATTACAAGTGTGAGCCACTACATCTGGCCTTGGGTCTGCATCATAATATGTGGACAAAGTAGTTTATAAATCACTTTTCACATTTAATGCTCATAATTCCTATCACTTCATTTTACAGATAAGGAAACAGGTCCAAAGGTTCAAGGTCTTAGAGCTACTAAGAGACAGAACTAGGACTCTGCCCTGGACTCCTCTACTCCTAAGTTCATGTGTCTACCCTGTCATGGTACAACCGCCCCTCAACATCAGAGAGACCCCGGCAGGTTCAGTTAAGCCAAGCAGGCCTCGGGGATGGGACCTGTAGTAGTCTTGGGGTGGTCTGGCTCAGGCCATCTTGAGATCACAGACCTCATCCAAGGAGGACAGGTCTGGGACTTTGTCCACATGGTCTGGATCTGGCTGGGCTGCTGGTCAGGGCTCCCCAGCTCTACCTTCCTTTCCAGGCCCGTCTCCCACTATTCCAGCCCCCAGTCCTAACTCCGGCCCGGCCCCCGCACTGTCAGTCACCTTCGTGTACTGCTGCGCTCACATGTCCCCTTAGCAAGGCACACCTTGCCCCAACAAATGCATTTCTATTTCTATGTCAAAGCTCAGGGAAAAGTAAAAACAAAACAAAACAAAAAAGCCCTAGTGCAAAGGACTGAAAGGTCTTCCTCACGCTGCCATACTGTCCGGGCTCCCCTTAGTCACTGTCATAATACAGTATAATCATCAGTAGTTTGAGTTTGTCTCCCTTGTAGTAAGTTCCTTGATAACAAGAAATAAATTTATCTCTCCCTTCCCTTTTCTCCTTCATTTCCTCCACACCTCAGCTACCTATTCAGATATTTACTCAGCTTTTAGTAGTGTCAAGCTCTGTGCTTGGGCTGAGGAATAAGCAGTGACCAAGGCAGGATCAGACCTTGAGTCCGTGGGCCGCACAGACAGGCTGTGAGCAGGAGTGGAAGGGTCCCGCGTGCTGGGAGAGGAAGGAGCAGTGGGGGGAGCACAGCCCTAAGGAAGCAACCCAGCCAGGGAGGAATGTTTACCCTGAGACCTGGGGGAGGAACAGGGCCTGGCCGGGTGAAGTGGGCGCTTGCATTCTGATAAATTCACCAAGCTGCACGTATACGCTTTATTCGGGGTTCTGTACATACACTATACTGCTGTGTGAAAAGCAAAAGTTCCCAGAAAAGAGAAAACGTACCCAAAATAAAAAAGGATCATCTGTCATTGGATTAAATGTCCTAACATGACAGAGAGACAGACCAAAACAAACATAAAAAAGAAACTTGGAAGATATATGCAACAGAATAGGGAAGGGGACAGAATTGTGGGAGAGAGGGAGAAAGAGAGCAGGGTTATCCACAGAGAACGAATACCCAGGCCCAGACATCCACTCAGGTCTAGCAGACAAAGGACACTCAGGAAAGCCTGTGTTCCCAAGGGCTGACAATGACCTCCTAGGCTTGTGCTGGACCCAGCACATGGTTCTCTAGAACCTAGACTTCTCCAATTTTTCAGGGCTTCCTGAGTGGGCAGTGAACTAGCCTCTGGCCTGAAGCAGCCTTGGTACCACCCTCCTTCAGGAGGCTAGAAGGGCGCTGGCTGGCTGCCCAGCATTTGCCAGAAAGGTGCCTCATCCCGGTGTGAGGCTGGTTAATCACCAACTGGCTACAGATTCACTTAGCAAGACAGAGTCTTTCTGTTTTTCTTGAGGAGAGAGGTTATCAAGGAAAGATGGAGTATATGTGTGTGGTTGTAAACAGGTCATGGCTATTCCATCAACTTGTAGTACCTGTATGAAAAAACAACTCTGAAAAGGCTTTGGAATTGACACATTTCAGTCCCCCAATAGTAAACTGAGTTGCTAGTCTGAGTCTGGCCTGATCTTGGAGAGATGGAAAAAAGACACAACCGCTGCCCTTCAGAAACACACAGCATGGCAGCAGCTGACAGGTGCCGTGCCAGCACTTAGAGAGGAACAGAAAATAATCACCTAACAATTTTAAACGAAGACCATCAGAATGAAAAAAATGAAGAAAAATATCTGTGACATTAAATATCAATCAGAAGGGAAAATGATTCATCATACACAGTTGTGTGTAACAAGTCTACTGCAGGAAGTGAAGAATGCCTCCATCGTGTGACTGCCTCTGCAACCCACATCCATCCCAGTGGATGAGTCCTTTCTGCTGGGCCCTAACCTGGTGGTCCTTTAGATAAGCCCCTTTGGGTGAAAGGATGAGAGTCTCAGGGAGACCTTGAGAAGGGATTTTGCTGTGAGATAATCTGCCTGAATGGGAACAGAACACTGGGAGAAACCTGGAGATTTATTTAGGGACCAGATCCTCTTTCTTTCTCTCTCACGATCTGCCTGGTCACTTTCTCCCATGTTTTGCTCCTCTCCACAGGCCTTACCGACTACCA